TCTCTCTCTCTCTCTCTCTCTCTCTCTCTCTCTCTCTCTCTCTCTCTCTCTCTCTCTCCCCCTCTCTCTCTCTCTCTCTTCTTCGTCGTTGTCCTCTGTGCAGGTACGCATCACCTTCCTCCGCAGCGCAGCTATGGCGGACTTCTTCACGGTGGCGCACTTCAGCTATGGCGCCCTATGATGGCGCACGTCTCTCCCCTGCTGCAACGGCGATGGCGCGTGAGATAGCGGGTACCAGCTCCGATACCAGTGCAATCACACTCACTTTTTTCTTCGCTTCGCATGCATACAAACAGATGGTGATTCACACTGGCGCATAGGGCCCAACTCAAAGCTCAGAGATATGGAAACCAAGAACACAGTTCGGATGCAAACTCGCTTCAACAGGCTATGGTGCACCAGCACCTAGACATCCCAACTCTCGCCACTGTGTCCAACACCACTGTTCGCTCACACTTCAACTCTGGATCAGCCTGGATATCCCACACGCAACCCACTGTACACTCGCACACTTACACACGCCACTCTCTCTCTCCTATCAGCATGGCGGCTATGGCCGCTGCCTACCCTATCGCTATGGCTAAGCTTCCTTCTCGCCCACTTCGTCTTCGGGCCTATGGCCTACGCAGGAATGAATGCATGGCTGGGCGCTGCCTCTTGATTTATACTTCTGTAACTCGTTGGTCTGCCCCTCTCCACCAGGCCTATGGTACTTGCTTGACTGGAATGGGACTGCTGGACCGGTACCGCTGACTGCATGGGTTTGCACTGCCAACTCAATGCAGTCGCACTGCCGACGTAATGCAGCTGGGCTCACCACTTGCCCACTTGCCTCTGACTAAAACGTGAGGCAGCTTCGAAAGGCCACTTCCGGACCTTCCGGACCTTCCGGAAGTCTGTGGACTTGGCCTTTCAAGTACTGTAGCAACTACGACCTTGACCTTTCAGGACTGTAGCAGCTACGACCTTGACCTTTCAGGATTCCTACAGCTACGACCTCTACAGGGCTGTGACTCCTACTTGACAGATCTACAGATCGAACCCCTACTATTACACAGACCTACGACAGACAACAACAACTCTCAAAACACAGGTCACGGGTTCAAACACTCGGGGTTGACACTGATACTGTACACAGGTAAAGTGAGGACTAGACATCGAGCCCTGGGACCTGCATCCGCTATTGCTAACAGGTGAATACCGTTTTAAAAACCTTTCCACTTGGCCCTCACAGATGCTACTTTTCAAGACCCTGTATGGATTTCAAGAAAAGCCGGGTCTCAACGCCAGGTACAAAAACAGCCAGTGCCCCAACGTATCC